TATATATATAATATAAGTCATGCACAACTATCAAATAAGAAATTATTTCACTTTTAAGACTGAACATACCTTCGATGTGCTGACACTTGCCAACATTAGGTCTGAGGGCACTAAGGGCTTGTTTGGGGCAGATTATTTAGGTGCGGCGGCGTTTCCAAAACGCTGCCTTCGTGTTTGGATCCCGCGTTCGTGTGGATTATTCCTGCCGCAGTGCGTTAACTTCTGCAAATCCTAAATAGGTATGTGACGCGGGGTGGGGACTGCGTCCGGCGTTCGGCTCGTGATATTGCCCTAGTTGCCCCTCTTCTCCCTCGCGCTCTCCCTCCCTTGATTTTTCCCTCGTAGAGGAGATCGGAGATTTTCCTTTCGATTCGTCCCCCGTAGAGGAGATCGTAGAGTTTCCTTTCGATTCGTCCCCCGTTAATCGCAAGGTATGCTTTCCCTCACCGTCAATTCGTAAGGAATGCTTCCTCTAGAGCGATCGAACGTCGGTGGCCGTAAATAGTTCTTTGTTAATCCGCGAACGTTGTTTGCGAACGTCATTTATTTGTATAGATCTGACCGTAAACCTTGTTTATTACTTGACCGAAGATTTCTATGTCATCGTCGTCTTCGTTGTTTTTGAACTCCAACAATGAGAGTGGATTTCTTTAGCATTTTTTGATTTGTTTTTTGGTATTGTTAAGCTGATCTTGGTTGTTGCGGGGTTTTCTTCGTTGGTGCGGTGCTGAATTGGGTTTGTTGTAGGTTTAAGTCATTTGTGAAGAGTGGGAATGGATAATGATCTTCACTTTGGTTTTCAATTATCCATTTTACAAGTTTTTTTTAGAGAAGGTTGGGGTTTCTGAAATTGAGTCACGAGCATTGTTCCTCACAGTATGCACAGTGCTACAAAGGCTATGTTTGGGTTTTGTTTTGAATGCATTTAAAGTGCTACAAGGTTTCTTTTGTAGTGGCATTACTGTAGTTTGCTGCACCTTCTATCTGTTGGATTTTATTGTTGTTCATTTTAACATTCATCCATTGGTAGCATTTATCTGTTCATTCATAAAATTCATGTTGGTCTAAGATATGAAGCTTCTGCGGCATTGCTTCAAAAGGTGATTTTTTTATTTATTTTTTGATATTGTTAAGCTGATCTTGGTTGTTGCGGTGCTGAATTGGGTTTGCTGTAGGTTCAAGTCATTTGTGAAGAGTGGGGATGGATAATGATCTTCACTTTGGTTTTCAATTATCCATTTTACAAGTTTTTTAAGAGAAGGTTGGGGTTTCTGAAATTGAGTCACGAGCATTGTTCCTTATAGTACGCACTTGATTTGTAATGATACTTAATAGGAAGCCATAGAGGGTTCTATGGGATCTTTGAAGTTTCTCCTTTGTCTGTTAATATGTTTTTGGATTTATGGGCTTCTTTTGGATGGATTTGATTAATATGTTTTTGACCGAACCACATATATCATTTGTGTAACTTTGGATTTTTGGGCTTCTTTCTGAACTTTCTGAACTTCTGATTTGATTAAAAGTTACATTGTCTTCAGTCTAGGGATAGAGGTGCCCCTTTTGCTTCTAAAATTATTTTTGCTTCTAAAATTATCATTTCTGTGAGCATAATTAGAGATAATTAGAACTTCATGCATATAAATTTTTCAGTTTCTGGAATTTCATAACACCATTACAATTATACTATATTTTTAGCAGGTGCATACTGTGGTTACAACAATGACACTACATAACTTTATCCGAAGACATTCCTCACGATCAGATACAGACTTTAGTATGGTTGACAATGACGAACTGAATGTCTTCGACCAAACTCCTGGAATTGTGGGTGAGAGTTCATTGCCTGAGAATGATGTAGACTCTAATGAATTTGGAGATCAGGAAGGTGAATGTTTGGCTGATATGATTGCTTTAAGGGAGTCTATCACAGATGTTATTTGTGGTTGTTGATCTACCAAGTTTTACTTTAATAAGGTTATAGGTTAATATTTATATGTATTTAATTTTGGTTACTTTTAAAATACCTTAAACCGACATTGATTCTTTTGTTATTTTCGCAGTTATACAAAAATGACTTCCAGGATATCAGGTACGGACAGAGGGATTTTGTGTTATTGTGGACTACCGTCTCTGTTGCTAACGTCACGTAAGGAGCATAGCTTTAGGAGGCAGTTCTATGGTTGTGTCAGAGGTGTTTCAGCTTGTTGCGATTTCTTCCGGTGGACAGATAGTCCCACATATTACACTGTCAGTAGTCATGCCAGCAGTCATGTGAATCTGATGTTTTCTCAGGCTGACTGTGCAGTTGAGGACCGACGTAGCCAGAGTCTTAAGTTAAATATTTTAATATTTCTTCTTGTTGTTATACTTATATTTGTACTTTTTTTAGTTCTACTGGTACTCGTTAGGATGTGAGAACTGTATGATATCTTTTAGAATATCTCTGTCATTAACGTATGTTTCTGCACTATATGTTTCTTTTCTACCAATAAGCTATTCTGAATAAGCTGCCCAAAACAGTTTTATCAGACAGGAGCAGAAATGTCATTTAACCACCAATAAGTTAGTCTGAATAAGCTGCCCCAAACAGCAAACCAGATTATTCTGATAATCTGCAGATTATCAGAATAATCTGCTTATCAGCAGATTATAAATAATTCACAGTTGCGCCAAACAGACCCTAAATGTCCTAATTTGAAGTCACGCATAGTATGGTTGCACGACCAAAATGAAAAGAGGTTAATAAAATTAGGTAGAAGATAAACCATGCATACCATCAAAATGCTTGGTTCAGATAACAAGATTACAATGAACTCGAGACATACTAAGGTCTTGATGACGGTCTAGAGAGGGGTTAATGTATGGTATGTTTCCATAGCATTTAAAGGCCCATAACTCAGACCTAGGACTTCTAGATCAGACTACAAAAAATTTAATCATTGCTCCAACTTAAGACGCGTTGTTTAAAAGAAATCAATAATTAATTTAAGAAGTATCATCAAACAAAATAACTTCATTTTCTTATTTCACAAAGCATATTTTGTTTTGTTTAACCATTTTTTACTTTAAATAGGAACTGAGGCCTTCTTGTTTTTTGACTCCTTAAAACATGCACTTGTTCTAATCCCTTAAGAGGATGCTTAGATGGGTTAAATGAGGGTTTTCCTAGAACTTTTCATCTTAGCTGGACCAAAATTAAATAGAGAAAAAGATACAAAAAAACTCACCATATATCAGAAAGTATCATGTACCCGTAATGAAATTCCATGTTCTCAGAGAAACTGAAATAAAGAGTGGTACTCTTGCATTAAGCAAGATAACAAACCACAATTTCATAATGTCATATCAATATTAGTTTTAGATTCATCAATCAGACAAAGTAGCCAAAAGAAAAAAGAGTGTAAAGTTAATAACATCCTCAAAGCTTTCAACCACTGATATCCTTTGATCCCATGATTTCCATCATGATAAAGAATTTTGATGAAAGGTTTGATATTAGCTTTGTTGCAACATAAACACTCCAAAGGTAACTGCAGTAACGTCTTATCTGTTTAGTTCAGTTCATTAACCTTCAAGACTGAATTTTTCATCTAAAAAAAACGCAAGTCTGGTAAAAGGACCATTGGCCCTTGAAAAGTGGAAAACGCTAATTTTCTAAGTGGTAGCATTTATGTAGACCAACTACCACTCCAACAAAGTCAGATCTTCTAAATATAAACTTTTGGATGTCAAAAATATGTAAGCAATCTGAAAATTAACAATAGCTAAAATCAATCTTACATGAAAGAAAGAGAGAGAGTTGATGGGGGTGAGGTGGTGGGGGGTGGTGAATTAGGAAGAAGCAAGAAGAAGAAATGTCTATAGTGTTAATGTCTTCGCATTAACATGTGTGCTTCTCTACAGTGTATATTAAACAGTACAGTGTATTCTTTTTGCGTAGTCCTAATTCAACCTCAATTATATATCATGGCAGAGTGCCTAGTGGAGCATCAATAGATAATGTTTGCCATTTTATTCCTAATCATGTGGACTTCCATTTTTTCCTGTGTCACGGAAGCAAGAAATTCATGCACTCAGCTCAAGTGCCAAGAAAGATGTGCAAGGGAAACAGAGAATAACAAATGAATATACAAGAACAAGTTCAGGGTCACCATAAGTACAAAAAATAAAAATAAAAAAATTTAAAGAAAAGAGACATAAATAACACGCATAAAGGTGGGAAACACAAGTTCACACCTCCAAACGAAGCAGCAACAGCAACTGAACCAGCAACAGATCCTGCAGCGCTAGCTACAGCAGCAAAACCACTCGCTCCAATAACAGGGACAAGAGTTCCTAATGTGGGAGCAAGAGCACCAAAGCCAGCAGCGATTGCAGGGGCAGCTAAACCTGTTGAATATGAAGCAACCAATAAGAATATTTGTTGTTATCCATTGACTATTAAAAATAGTGTCCTTAAATATTCACTCCAAAACTTCTTTTCTTGAGTCTCAAAGCAAAGCTCTCTGAAACATTAGGCAATGAGATCATTTTGAATATTATACTGTGAGAGGTTCGAGACATGGTGTACAAATAATAATGAATTGTTCAAATCATACTGCAAAAGGTTAGTGACATGGTGTACGAATAATAATGAATAGTTTAAATCACCCACTACATGCATGATAAAACCCCTATTTGTTTTCTAGTTTTTTAGAATTTATTTTTTAAAATGCAGCTCCCTATTTGGAAGGACCCAACGAATCATTAAACTATTGAGAGGCATTGATAAAAACATTAGCAGCAAATGACATAATTTTAACTGATAATTTAAGACTTAATATAGTTGTCTAACATGAAATAGTTTAAAAGTTTCATTAAATAGATAATTAATTTATTAATTAATGTTGAATAATATGATTTACAGAAAAAACATTAGCAGCTGATTAAAAAATTTTAACTAATAATCTATTGACAAAATTGCAAAAGTTCAACATTTCATTCAAAAAATAAATAATTGATTAATTAATGTTAAAAATTATGGATTTAAGAGAATGAATTATGTGGGTAAGATGATTTGAATAAGTTGCTTTTCAATCCCGAAAAAATATTTGTTTAATTGGGTGCTATAAATAAGGTAAGTCAAAAAGAATCTCCCAATTATTCCTATGTGACCAATTTAGTCACATTATAGCATGTCTCCAATTTAGTCCATCAGCTATAGAAAATTGATCCCAAACTATCCCTGAAGTAAAATTGATAAAAATGAGAAACAAAAGAAAACCCAATTTATACCCTCAACTATACAAAATTGATGATTTAGCTCATGAACCATTTAAGATCAAATAGTTGAGGGACTAAATTGAATAAATGAGATAACCTGGGAATAAATTGGCTACATATGAATAAGCAATAGACTATTTTAAGCATTTTTACCATTATGAATAACGCATATATATACTATAAAGTACAATGGTTATATTAATTATATTTCAATAATACAAAACCTATATATGTCGGTGTAAATCTAAAGTTGTCAAATTAAAATCGAGAGAGTTAGCAAGAGAATGAGGAGACAAAAATAAAAGCAAGAAAGTCAGTAGGAAGATAGAAAGAGAATCAATATGGCAATAAAGTGAGAACTAGCAATGGTATTTGCTCAAAGGGTGACATGAAAGCAATAGACGATGCCATGTGAGAGCAACAATAACTGTCTCCAATAAGCAATTTGTTTCAGTTATCACGATCTGGCCCGTGGCTTGAAATTAACCAAAACTAGTACAGAAGATCGAACGATGGAAATTATATTTTTCTTAACTTCTATAACTTACATTTTATCAAATAAAAGAGTCATCATATAAAAACAAATATTAAATAGTACAATTAAATTTACCTCATTATTGGTTATTCGCATCTTCTATACAAATTTCATCTTTTATCGCTCATCCTTTAAATCACTTAATTAAACATAACATGTTAATTTAAAATAGCAATGAGCTAACCAAATTTAATAAATACTCATGCTCATAGACTACAGTAACACAATGAAAAAAATAATAATATGCACAAAGCTTTTAATAATCAGTATAAAATATTTAAAAGTTTATGAATATGATTATTTATGATATTTCATAATATTCAAGGTGTTTTCCTAAATTAATAATATATCATTATCATTTTATCTGTACAACTGTTGCAGGAGCACCATCTAATAATTATACAAGTTAAGGTACTTTAATATTAATATCATTTTTCATTTTCGTGCACGAGTACCTTAGCATTCCCCCACTAGTATCATAAAAAAGTGATTTCGTCATAGTCAAGTATGCAAATACAAGCATACTATGAAAATCACTATTTCATAATGATCATTTCACTCTCATTTACATAGCAATTAATATACTTGTGTAACATTCCATATTTATGATAATTTAAACAATGCTAAGTAAAGATATCATTCCTACGATATGAACAAAAAATTTAATAAAATCATAAATCTTAAGTTTACAGCAATTTCAATATAACTAGTACCAATACTAGTAAATGCATTTGATTTAAAAGAAGCAAAATAGTATTACAACATAAAAACATGAGAACTCAACTCAATCACTGATGATTCACTAGTCAATCGTTCTTTTCACTTATCTTCAATGAAAATCTAAAGTCAAATGCATAAATAATTATTATTAATTTACTATATGTTAATCTTGTTATTAGAAAGCAATTTGCCTTTATTTTATCAACGATGTATCGTATAATAATAAATATTTCATTTTCATTATGCTAATTATTATCTTCATTTAATTATTTCTTTCAAACAATTTAAACTTAATAAAATATTACCAATATAAAGTTGGCCCTCCTAATTTAACTTTCTAATTAATTTATGTAATTTATACCTATTCAATTAAGCTTTAAGATTTATATAAATATACATACATTTATATTATCTAACAATCTATTATTATTAATAATTTTTTTGAATTCATTATATGAAACATTATTTCATAGATTTAATAACCAAACAAAACTTAAATAAACCAAACCCTAACCTTTTCTTTTCTGTCATCACCATTTTCTCAAACCAAAAGTGAAACTTCTACAGCGTGAATCCAAATTTAATTAAGCATTATCATTAATAATTAATAATATAATTAATACATAATCAATCTTTTAAAACCCTTAACTTTCAAAGGTTTGGTTTCCCCTACTCGCACGCAGAGATTCTTCTTACTCCGCACGCGAGATCCGCCTTCTACTTGCACGCACGAGAGCTCCTTCCTCTCTTCTTCCTTCAATCGGCAAGGGCATCACTCTTCCCTGCGTCACAATCGAGGTCGTTTAGCTAGGGCACATGCTCCCCTCTTCTCCTCGCATATGACTCACGAGAAGTCTTTCATCTTTTTCCTTTGCAATTCGCACACCAAAGCCGTTGATGCAGTCCTTCGAACCCAAGCTCGATCATATGTCGATTTGGTTCACCAGACGACGACGATCTCTCTGTTGCACGCACACGAGGTTCGTTTTCTCCCCTAGTAAACCATTCACGATCAGAGTTGGTCTCTGCTACAAATTATCTCGATCTCAGTGTGTGATAAGAAGAAGACGGAAGAATTCTCGCGTGCAAGAGAAGAGGAGAACCTATGCCTTGATTTTACGGTTATTTACATAAAAAGCAAGAATCATAAGTTGTTCAACTCCCTCAAGGAGATCAACTGAGAAGTCACGTCAGTATTGAAAAAGGTTTTGCCTTGATTTGTCTTTTTTTGCTATGCCCCAAGCATCTTACTCTTCTTGATATACTCTCCTTCCTTGATTTGTCTTTTTCAATACTGATGTAACGCATCGTTTCATCTCCTCAAGAGAGTTGAGCTATTTATGATTCCTGCTTTTTTATGTAAAAACCCATAAAATGATGTTATGTTTATGAAACTATTATTGTAAAAGGTTTTTCTATTATTATCACTTCTCAATGCAAATTGCTCTTCATACTGCTATGAATTTGTATGTCTACATGTTTATGTTTCAATTGCTTATGTAGACTCTATGCATCATGCAACTTGCCTTATAAGTAGATTTAATGTTGATGTGAATCCAAAAGAAAAAATACATTAAAATACTTGCATTTGCATGTTGAAAGATAATTTCCTCTCTTGTGGAAATTCATAGGGACACTTATACTTGCGCATTGACCATTTTTCTTTCCATCACTTCGAAAAAGTAGTAATATGCTGGAAAAGGATATTCAAAGTGAAGTATCAAATTGATACAGAAGGATTAGACAATGCCTCTGTAAAAAATGTAATAACTATTTACCTTAGAAGGTACGTTCTGATATGATATGATTCAATTCATGTCCATGCCATTGAGATTAAGCTAAATGTTCTGAATAAATTAATAGTACTTTGACTAAAAATAAACTACTTATAATAGCAATCATAACTAAAATGAAGAGTTAAATTTTATTACTTCATTGCAATTTGAATGTGATGGCTAGTATGTGTATTGCTCTCTATTTATTTCAAGTTGCCATTGTTTAGAAAAATCATTTACCCAAATGTGTGTGTGTGTGTGTGTCTAAGGCGAGAAAAGTATTTATTAAAAATGGTCACTGGACTTTGTATGGGTGTTATATGGTCACAGTTTATTTAATGTGCCCGTTACATAACTCTTGAAAGTTGTTTCAATACAGTCCGACCATAAAATTTCTTTGTAATCAGACTTACACATATATGAAAGTTTGGAGGATATATTCATCCAAATAGGTCTATACTTGTATATAGACCGAAAGCTTTCTATTCTTAATTGTAATTCAATCTAGCCTTTAATTGAAAACTTTCATTTCACTCCAACGAGGTTAAAAACTAGTGGAACATAGACAGGGACTGCAACGAGCATCTAAAGTTAAGCTAGGCTGAGTTCTGTTGATGGCCATAATCTATATTGCAATAGGATGTTGAGCTGACTAAGCAGGTTTGTGTCTTGCCAGAAGGGGGGGCCTTGCAGCAGACAACAAAAGGAATGTGTTAGGTCCATAACGAGCCCTCCTCTAGGCCACGAAGATGGAATGTGTTATGCTTGAAAGATAAACAATAAAATCTTCTGAGAAGTTTATATAAATCAATTTCGACGGAGATATCCTCCAAGTTTTCCAGTGTGTAAGAAAATTATCCTAAGGGAACTAAATTGAAAAGAATCAAAAGTAAAGAGAATAAATCAGGTATAACAACCATTATATCTATATCTATATCAATATAATTGGAATGTATCGTGCTTGAAAGTTAAGAGAATATTTATATATACAAGATGAATGTTCTTCAAAATTGTCACCTGTGAAGTACATAGGTGAAAGAAGAGATTTTGTATGCATCAAATGAGGAACGTTAATTAATAGGTATAAATATAGCAATAATTTGTGTAGAGAGATAGGAGATATTTTAGATCTTTTATTTACAAGAATCATCCTATAATCAATTTGATTTATGCAATGTTGACTATAAATAGATAAATAATAAACTTTGAATCATATTATACTTTGGATGATACCTTCAATAATCTTGTCATTAATTATTTTATAAAATGAATATAATAGATATGTTATAAATCATAAAATTTTATGTTCGTCAGTCGGTTATTAATGTCAATTTGGTAGTGGTAGATCGAGCATGCAAGGACAATTCATCCATGTCACAACCCGACTCGGGGCTTGGAATTAACCAAAACAAGAAGACTGTCTTACAGTGAGAACTAAATTTTCTATATTCGTCTATAATTTAATAGAGAAAAGATTCACTAATCAAAATAAATTAAAATACTATATTTATAATTACATCGTTATTGGTTGCCCGCATTTTTTATACATATTTTGTCTTCTATCGCTCATCTTTTAAATCACCTAATTAAACCTAAAATATTAATTTTAAAACAACAGTACACAAAACAATGTCAGTGAATATTCATACTTAAAAACCACAATAATACAAGTAAAAAGAAAACAATATTCATGTCAGTCAAACTTTTAATAAATCAACAAAAATATTTGATATCATTCAAAAAACCGTACTATACCAATAACATATCAATATCATTAAATATTAGAACCGTTTATAAATTATGTCAATTAAAACGCATAAATATGAATATTCTTTTGCATATACGTGCACGAGTATTTTAATGTTTCCTTACTAGTAACATCAAGAGAGAATTTCATCATAATCAGTCATGCACATCCACAGCCAACATAAATATATCATTCATGTATTCAATGCATTAATTCAGCATACGATATACAACATACACTAAATATATGAGAGTAAATAGTCATAACTATTCATAACAATATGACCGATAAGAAAAAAATATCTCAATCAGAATAAAGCATGTGCAAGCGTCATTCACTGCAAAATAGTTGAGAAGAAATAAATTATTACTATAAATTAAACGTAAGAGTACTCGTCTCGATATCAATTAATTTGCTATTTGTCTTGACTTCAATTCTTCTAAAATTGAAGCCTATAACATGGTATAAAATTAAATTAATCTAATATTTTAATAAACTATTAGCTTTTCATTATTTAAACGTTAAAATTTTCTTTATGTAATCACGCTTAATTTCTATTCAATATATATATATATATATATAAGTTTTAAAAACCCTTTTTAAGACTTACCTTGGTTGTGGTAAACTGCGCAACTTGGTTTCCTTCGTACAGTTGCAACGAAGATTACTCTATCTCCTCCTTCGCACGGCAACAACACACGTAACTCCGTCTCATCCTTCGCACGGCAGCAACACACGTGAGGCTCACTACCTAATGTCATCGTTGTCTCCTCTCTGCCCACAAACACGACGTCGTTGGCTAGACTTCGGCTCCCTCCCACACGAACATTCGATGTCGACGCTTCCTTTACTCATCAGCGACGTCGTCTCTTCTGTTACACTCAAACCTTCCACATAGGTGAGGTGCACCCTTCCTTTCCCCCTCTCCTCCTTTCTTTTCCTCTTCTCTTCTTCTTTTGGACTTGCATTGTCTTCCTCTTAGCATCGTTTTATGGAATGCAAGTGACATCTGAGTTCCCGACTGTTTGATTCATCTCCCTCCTTGAACTGTCTCCTTCTCGCTTCATTCATTTTGCATGCTTGATTTTTATTGTAGACTAGACAAAATCATAGTCTGGTGATGTTAAAACTCTTGTCCACCGAAGTTTGGAAGAAATTGGAAGCTCAGTTTATGGCAAAATCTCTGACGAACAAGTCACAAAAATAAAATAAAAATACTCTTGCTCAGTGAACAGAGGAAAACAATGTGGAAATAATTTTAAATTTATGTGATGCATATTTTATTTTTAATTAATTAAACACTATTTTGAGTCTTTTGATTCTCAATGCATGTAGACATTTCATTATGACTTGAAATTTTGGCATGTTATTGCTTTTGTCTTGAGGAACATTCTCTGATTTTTCTAAAGTAAGAGGAGACCTCTAGATAGAGATCCATATTTTTCAAGTTTATGTCCATTATTTGCATAAAATAATAATAATAATTAGCATGTTGCTTAGAAAATTCCAAGAAAATTTTGGAAGGTTTATTATGTCTAGAGAAACCTTTGGAAAATGTTTCATGATCCAAGTAATTAAAAATGCACCTAATTTTTACAACCCCTAAGATGCAAAAAAAATTAATTTTAAATGACTAAATATCTCTACTAAATATTTACAACCCCTAAGACGAAATATAAATATCTAAATGACTTGATTTTCAATCTCTACTGTAATTTGAAGTTCATAGAACTCCCCATAAAAATTTCAAAATATTTGGAGTTCATTTGATAATTCAAATTGATTTTCTAAGTTTAATGTCATTTTTAACACCAAAATAGTTTTTAACAATTAAAATATAACTCAAAAAAAATTATAAAAATTGGTTTTGGATGTTCTCTATGATTAGAGGAAGTTTCTAAAAATAAATTTGTAATTAAAATAAAAATTTCATATTTAAGCCTTTCCTTAATATTTAAATAATTAAAAAATGATAAAAATCACAAAAATAATAAAATTCATGGAAATGTTCTAAATTATTTCCTAAGCACTTAGGAACAATTGGAATATTCTTCATGATTTTCTAAGTGAAGATATTGAATTTTGAAGGTTAAAATAATTTTTAAAGGCAAAAATGGATTTTCACTAAAATAATCCTAACAATTCAAAGAAAAATAAAAAAAATGTGAAATTTATTTTCTGGGTTACTTGATCTCAGAGATATTTAATAAAAATATAAAACTTAATTTTTCACATTTAAAATATTTTATAATTAATAAATTCTCCATAACTTAAAATAATTCTAATAATTAAAATTGACACTCAAAAAATCATGAAATTTAGTCCCAATGATTCTCTGGTTCAAGTCTATCTTCAGTAAAAATTTCAAGGGGTTAGGCTTTACCTTGGTCAAGTTAGGGAATTTTCTTTGAAAAATCCTATTTATATAATTTTTTATCATTCAAATTGGGCAGGTCTTTAATATTTAAATCACATTAAATCTTTTAAATATTATTGATTATGTGAAATATGAAGTTTTGCGTAACACTTTGCTTTTGTAGGAGTTAAGGCTTCGCTTTGCTGTTATGTTTTTTTCCCATGAAGCCAACAGCACACCTATCAACTATAAGTGTCTTATACCTCCCGTGATGGCCAACAAGGCTCCTCCTGTCAAGGCAGCAGCACCAATGATGCCACCACGCTTCCACTTGGCCCATTTACTTTTCGCTGAATCATTTTCTTCTGACTGCTGCTGTTCTTTATTTGCAGCCATTGCTGAAACAGCAACAATTATCTCCATAGCCTCCTAAAAGAAAAAGCGATAAGATAGACCGTTACCACAAATTTCCTACTTAAACTAAGAAAACATTATTAGTGAAAACTTTAAGCCAGTATAGAATGCAGAAGCTGTATCCGTGGATACAGCACAACAAGCAAACTTTTTCCATGATCTCAAATTGCACCATCCAAAAGATGTCTATCTTTTTCAAAAAATTGACATATTAAAAATAAAATACGAGAAAAAAGTAACCATTTGAGAAAAGAAACATCAAAAGTTACGTATGAATATCTTCAGCAGCGTAAAGCAGGCAAGTAATATTGACAACTAGGGTTATCTTCAGTTTAACAAAACGAAATGAGGAAACATGGAAAATATAACCCTTGTAAGCAGTGGCAGTTGAGCATGCAAAATATAACCCTGCAGTTATATTTTCAAGCTGCGACAGAATTCTAGAAAAGATACTTTGATAGAGGCATCAAGCAGTTTATCAGTCACTGACATCCACTAGACATCATGTTAGGATAGAAATTAAAGAATTCTAGTAATACTTGGTTTTCTCATTATTTGTTTAAGGAAGTTTACGCCTTTTTAGGCAATTTGTACTTGTCCAGTAAGTGTAAAGACTACTAAGTAATAATAGTCTACAACTACAACAAAGTCTTAATCCCACTACGTAGGGTCGGCTACATGAATCCTTTTCTCCATTGTGTCCTACTTAGTGTCATATTTTCATTTAGTTCTAATAAATTAAGATCATTTTTAATACAATAAGCCAAGTCTTCCTTGGTCTACCTATGCCTTTCTTAACATAAGTCGAATCTACAACATCTACTCGGATTATCAAATGGTCAACATTTAGTGTGACCAAACCATCTAAGTAATAATAGTCTATACCATGAAAATACTATAAATAGCCCTTGGAATAACCATGTCGATCTAATTTGAATCAATCTCGTATATTTTTCTCCTTGGAGAATTTTGATCAATGTACAAGCACTTCTACGAAATGGTGTGATGCCCTTTCTATGCTAAGAGTATTAAAGTGCTCTGTAAGACAATTGATATCCTCTAAGAGATCTTAAGAGCACAGTGACACAACATGTATCCATCTTTTCCAAATTCACACGCTTCCTCTCCTCACCGTTTCTCCCTTCATTAACAGTTAAAAAGTAGTGAAATAAAAGTTTAGTGAACAATAAAGCAACTTTTTTGAGAGAAATGCTCTTTTGTTGCATGAACCACACCACCCTCTATAACTCTATAATTTGCGCTTATGAAGCGCATTAAGAATTTGATCTTCATAATCAATGTTCTAAGAAATATTAAATTAGATTAAGCATTTTGAGTTATCAAAGATAGTTATTATTTTTTTTATTACTTATACAATATTTATAGTTTTTATTTTCTTTTAGGACTCATTAGCCATCATTCAATAAGTGCAAATGTGTATTGCATGTTAAGTAATTGTGTAGATCATGTTATTCCTAAAAATAGTCCTATAAAGGTCATTTAGACCTAAAGTTGATGAACAGGACCTATTTTCTTCCCACTTTGGAACTTTTGGCCAACAAATGAAGCCCTTTTAAGAGTTTGTTTATGCACCCTCCTCCTAATATTAGTGAGTTATGTCAAACAACAGGCATCTATCTTTGCCTAATTCCAATGCCTTAACTCCGCCTAACCTTCCGTTTCCTACTCACCTTTGACGTCGGAGCGACCTAGGAGACGTTTTTGTAATCATTGCTATAATACCGCAAACTCCCACAAGTGAGGGCAGCTAGGGCCCGTCCAAATGGGTCGGTCGACCATTCCTTTACATGAATTTCCCTTCTATTGGGAGTGAGGTCCACTCCTCTTTACCCCAACTCTATAAATATATTGTTTTTATGTTTTTAAATAGTTCTTGGCTTGGATTTCTGTCAGCTGTCGGTATCCGTTTTTCCCCTTTGAGGGTTGTATCTGTGAGACTGGATGGTGCTCCGGTTGTATCACTCTCTCGAGGTGGTGTTTATCCTCCCTATTTTCTTCTGTATCTTCCCCACACTGCTCCCGCCCATCGTTTCCTAATGCAGTCACCCAAAAAAGCTGTCGACGATGTTCATCCTGCACCTTCTGCATTCCAACACCCCCACTTGTTGTCATCACTGTTCCAAAGGCCTGCCTTGCACAATACATGTTATCCTCCTTCTGAACCAGCCGCCAGCCCTCCCTCTTGCTATTTTCGACAGCTCACGGCCTTCCAACTGCCCCATATTCACTTCCATCATCGTTCCAGCCATCTCTACTCGGTGTCTAGTTGTCCCAGCCCTCCACCATTGCTGCAGCATTTGCAACACCTTCTCGTTGTTTCCTGTAGTCCAGCCGCCCCAAACAGCAAACTGCGGCTCTTTGGACTATCGTCCCTTTGCTCTTTGTTGTTGCAACAGCCGATAATTGTTGTCGTCCCTCATCCACAGTCAGGATGCCCCTTCCCTACCTTGTCTCCACCTCTCCAAGCCCTCCTAACCATCACAATCATTACCGGGGATCTGCCCTAATGTGAGTTTGCTTGTTGTGTGTGTTGTATTTTCCCTTTAAATTGTATTTTATTGTAACCGGCTATTTATTTTCAGTAATAATATTTACTTTTTATATTGGAGTTGGGGTGACCCTCGGTATTATTTGGCATTAGAGTTAGTCAAAACCTAGTCCTATCCGAGATTTTCTAGAATCCATCACACCCAAACCTATCTCCATCTAAAAATTTTTTCTTTCGCACCCTACTGTCACCCTTACACATCTCCTTCCACCTACCCACACCCAAACCTAGTTATGCCGCCAAGGAGATAATTGTTTGATGCCTCATCGAGGGAAAAGGACGCAAAGCAATTTATGAGAAATTCACAAAGAGGTGTCCAGGGAATTTCCAGGAAGGATATGTAATAAAAAGTCCGCCAACTACAATCGAGGCTTACAACCTTCTAGATGAGGGTAGCCACAACGATGACTTGCTAGATCGAATGGATAGATAAAACTCTTTCATCATTTGAATTCCAAGGATGAAGAACCTCTACCTCCAAGGTATAGCCAAAAATATTTGAGAAGTCATAATTTTGAAGGTGGATTTGTCATCTTTCGACGGCCATAAAGATCAGGACAAGGTAATCGAGTGGCTCCGGACCATGGAATGTGTCTTTGAGTGTCAAGACGTCCCACTAGACAGAATAGTAAAACTAGCTGCCGGAAAGTTAAAAATAACGCAGCATTTTGGTGGAAAAATTTGAAGCACAAGCGCCAACATGAACGAAAAGACAAGATCATTATCTGGTTCAAGATGAAATGAGAAATACAACTACAATACCTACAAGTTCACTACAGACCGGAGGTTCAAGCCCCAGCTACAAAAGTAGAGATACTACATCACTAGACGTAGGATTGTCAAAACGGCTCGTTGTTAGCGAATAGCCGTGTTCGATTAGTTAAAAAGCTCGGGTTCGATTCATTAGCTAAGTTAATGAGCCGAACACGAACATTTTTTTGTGCTCAACATATAAACAAATCAAACACAAACAAAGATTTGTTCGTTCACGTTCGGCTCGTTCTGGCTCGAAAAATTACTCATCAATTATATATATATATATAAAAATATTGATGAGTACTATTTTTAAAAAAATTAATTGACTACAATGCTACAAAGATTTATAATCAATTAAAATTTTTAATTAAAAAATTGAATAAAAATATATTAAATTATATTTAAATGATGTTTTAATATAAACAATAAGATTTAAAACCTACCCTAACCCTTAACATCCTATGTCTACGTGATTTGGGTTGTCAAAATAACTCTTTGTTCACGAACAGCTCATGTTCGGCTCGCTAAGCAAATGATCCGAACACGAACACACTTTTTGAGTTTGAAATATAAATGAGTCAAACACGAACAGTGATATTTTTTAATGAGTCGAACTTGGGCTCGCTCGTATTTGGCTTATTTACACTCCTAACTGAACGACCCCCACATCTTACAGACAAAATCCAAACTCGGGATCTTACAATCATATTACACTCAAGGGAACATCCAAGCCGACCTCACCTGAAGAGGTAAGTTTACCCAATAAAATGTTGTATCACAGGAGGCAGGATCTTAGAGTCAGATTACTCGGGATCTTACAGTCAGATTACACTCAAGGGAACATCTAAGCCGATATTTTATATAGTGATTAACGACGAGCATTAAAAGAGAGAACATTTATAAAAGATGCAGACATCCAGTAACGAGATAATTATAAATATATCACTTTAATTTAATTTGAGTAATGGATTTTTTTCATTTTTTTAAATTATAGAAAAATATACAAAATTTAGTTCTCACAATCTGACGGTCTGTTCTGCCTTGGTTAATTACAAATCCTAGACCAGGTCATGACAAATTTCTCCTCACATACTTATTTATCAGATACATCCAGCCAAATATGGGGATTGGGAAAGCAAATTATTAGCTAAAACTAATCCATAACTTTTCCTTCATAAATCCAATCATTTTTTTTTATTTGATTATCAAAATTGCATCCAAAAAATCTCTTCAAGCCCCCAAAATTGTCTTCTCCTAGCCAACTGCCAAGAATGATTATCAAACACTCTTTTCCTTAAAAAACCCAATCTAAACTGTGAAATCATTCACCATGCAATTTTCCATTTAACTTTTGTAATCTTTATTTTAGCAGCTTTTTATTTCGTTATCGCCATAGCATCTAAAAATCCTATTCACACCTCCAAAATACCCTCTCCTTGCCAAGCATTGTTACCAAAAAACATGCTTAAACGTTTTTTAGGAGTTCCCTGCAAAGAATATAAACTAATGGCAAACAAATCCCATGTTGTGTTAAGTTGTGCATAAAGAGCTTACGAGGAAACATAAAAGTACTGTGTATACCTTCTCTCATTGTCATCAAGAGGAGGGGAAAGTAAGGTGGGAGAGAGAGAGAGAGAGAATGTGAAGGAGAGGAGCTTGAAAGGTAGAGAGCACTGGTTGAAAATAGAGA